AAAAAAAAAAAAAAAAAAAAAAAACAAAATCGATATATATTCAATTCAATAGTAATCGATATATATTGATAGTAAACAATAAATTTTCAATTAGATCGCAATCAATATATATTCAATTCAATAGTAATTATTTAGAAACTTATTCAATAGCAATCTTTATTTAATTGAAAAAGCTATTAAAATAAAATTTATTAAAAGCAATTATAAATAATATTTATTTTTATTTTATTTTTTTTTTACTTAAGTGATCCTACTTTTATTTTATAAATCGGCAATACATTATAGTGAGAATTCGGTTGGCTAGACCTACCATCTAACTATTAAGTATTTCATACAGTTCTATATCAGAATCCTGACACACAAAATCCCGACACACAAAATACTGACAACAAAATCTTGATATTCAAAATCCCAACAAATTAAAATCCAGACGAATCAAAATCCCAACATTCAAATCCTGACACTTAAAATCCCAACAAATTAAAATCCAGACAAATCAAAATCCCGACATTCAAAATCCCAACACTCAAAATCCCAAAATCCCGACAAAAATAAAATCCTGGCATTTAAAATCCCAACACTTAAGATCCCGACATTATCAAGATCCCGACACTACCAAGATCCCGACACTACCAAGATCCTGACAATATCAAGATCCCGACACTACCAAGATCCCGACAACATCAAGATCCCGACAACATCAAGATCCCGATAATATCAAGATCCCGACAATATCAAGATCCCGGCAATACCAAGATCCCGACAACATCAAGATCCCGACAACATCAAGATCCCGACAATATCAAGATCCCGGCAATACCAAGATCCCGGCAATACCAAGATCCCGGCAATATCAAGATCCCGGCAATACCAAGATCCCGGCAATACCAAGATCCCGGCAATATCAAGATCCCGACAATATCAAGATCCCGACAATATCAAGATCACGATACCATCAAAATTTTGACACAGATTAGCTAAGTATATTTTGCAACTAGATCATATAGGCGAATTTTTTGGAAAGATTATTAAAATTAATTATAATACCGCATTTCATAAAAATTTAATCCAATCATTTATGTGATCTCTAGTAAAGTGAATTGATATTACAATGTCTCTGGTAAAATTAGATTATACGATTCTGTTTGATTGGTCAATTGCTTTTCTTAGCTATAATGAAACTGCATAATAACTATTACTATAAATCATCATTATATTTAACCGGTCAATTGCTTTTCTTAGCTGTAAATTGCTTATGAAACTGATCATGAAGCCGCATAATATTTATATAAATCATTTCGTATATCATTTAATTTTACAGGTTTACAATATTAGCATTTATCGTTGGTGGCGATACCATTCCTTATTTCTTTATCAATTTTAAGGTTAGAGTGCAATTCTAGGCCAAAGTATGGGTTAGATATCAAAATCCAAATTTTAGTTAGAGTTAGGTTTTTGGGATTCTGAATATTTTTACTTAGTACCCCTGATATATGTTAGCTAATAGGCCACCGGCGGTAAATAGCAATAATCTTAATTTTAATAATCAGCATGAAGTTCACTTTATTGTAATAATATCAGGTTTTTTCTTAATATAATAGTCATTTAAATGTTTAATTCTCAAATTAATAATTCTTTTTTTTTCCTTGTGCTGCTTTTAGAGTTGTGTTACGAAAGTTACAATATTGCATACATGTATTTTCAGTAAATCATATGAAATTTCATCGCGTTATAAAAGTAAATTACATGAAAATCCAATTTACTGAATCTTACGAAATTACATTAAATTACGGTAATTTTACAACCTCAGTTTCTTGTTGCAATATATGTTTTTTTCACAGTACAATAGTAACCATCCCCATTGTTAAAGTCTGGTAATACCTTTCTCGCATTTAATCGAAAATTCATATGGATGATCATCACATCACATGAAACCATGTAATGACGTCATTTGTTTACTCGCACTAACAAATCGGCCTAAACTATACTATCACCTAACCCTAACTCTAACTCTAATTTGGGCCAAGTAATTTAGTCATGTGATGTGATTAACACGAAGATATCACTGGGGTACTTATTCTTCAATCTTCCCGCTCCACTAATCTATCCGTGTTTCATATATATACGTAATAAGTAATATAATCGCGATAACAAGAGGAAATGTACCTGATCCAAACTTGATCCCACACCTGGTGTGCTTCACATAAAAAAATCATTTCACATTGAATCCCTCACAGTTTGGATCGGATATGTTTCCTCTTATTAATCGCAATTCATGATGGTTACTGTACGACTACCTGAAAGGAAATTTTCCAAAAAGATAATATCAACTAGATTGGCTATGCGGATGCAACTCATACAGGGGGGTCACCAAAATTCTGGGTCAGAATACCTCGAACTCATGATCGGAAGGGCCGGAATTAACTAATTTTGCCCAAGATCACTAAAAGTTTTACTAATGAAGTCATGGCCCACTCATTAAGTAAAGCTGCCCAGCTGATAATTTTGGCCTAGAAACGGTTGACCTGTATTGCTAATGCCGGCCTAAAATCCGATGGATCTGACCCGGAAATTTGGTGATCCCTCTGTAAAAAATATGCGGATATGACATTGCAAATTATATATTCACGTAGTAAGTAATATATAGCCAAATTTAATAATTTCTGTGCATTACAATTTTGTAAGCTATTAACCCTACAATATGCCTAGCGATTTACCAAGAATTTTATGTCTTTAACCTTGATAACCATAAAAATATTTTCTTTTTCATCATAAAGCATTTAAACTTGCATGGACCGAATATAATACGCAAAAATTATCAATACTAGTAAGCAAATGGTTCCGGATGATTCTAAATTATTATTACACAATCAAAAAATTTTGAAGAAGCTTACCGAACGTTAGACAGTACCAAAGAGCTATCGATGACTTAAGTATGTATATTTTGAATAAGATTATATAAACAAGTAACTCTGAGAACTTACCCACGATAGACGAAAATGAAGACATATCTGATGACTTAAATAGTAATCAATTTATATTCTGTTAAATAGGTTAACGATAATTAAAATTTATATTTTATCAGTTATATATGCATAGTTATCATGAGATTACTTTAATTGTCCTGGCGTTACCAACCTAAAAAATTCCGCCAAAAAAATTTCGCTTCAGATTAGGGTTAGCTTTTGGTATTAATTTAGGTTAAAAAGAGTTTTTCTAACACCAAAATTTCCCAAGAAAAACTTTCTGTTAATGCGCAGAAAGCGGTTTCATAGGTAAAACGCTTAGTTATGAACGATTTTTTGCGTTTCTTCTGCGTAGAACCTGATCTTGAAATCTAATTTGCCAGCGCTTTTCAAATTACTGTGAATAAGTGGATATATTGAGTGTCCTAAAATATTGGAAAGTACCAGACGAATTCAAAACCACACAGATTCGATAAACCAGTATATAAAAAAATATTACTTAGTGTACTGAATCAAATCAAATATATTTTGGAAGGAAACGAGTAATAGGTAAATCAGTACTGTATCAAATTAAAAATCGTACTGTACTGTAGTATAAGTAATAGATAATTAATGAGTAATAGGTAAATCAGTACTGTATCAAATTAAAAATCGTACTGTACTGTAGTATAAGTAATAGATAATTAATCAGTACATATGATGTGGTGCCGGTACGTCAGTACTGATTTTGTATTACAATATGATGATCATTACTATATCAATTAAATATTACGGTATTTTGTAATTCTTCGCTTTTTCACTTTTGTACGCCATTTAAATATGCTTTAAGCATTGGACCTATAAATAATATTAATACATATAAGTTATTTAATTTATTTAAATATTAAATTAATTTTAATAATTAAATAATAAAATTTACTTACGTGTTAAAAATTTACGTCCTGTTAATTCTAATGAATTTTCATAATTAATAATATTTTCCAAATCTTGTACAATTGTAGATGGTGTTTTTACAGGAGGTGGTGGTGGATGATTATGCTCACCAATAGAAACAATTACGATAAATGGGCATTCAACAAGATTTAAAGGTAAAAAATGATAAAATTTTACATTACAAGGTTTTTGAATTATTTTTGCTTCAAAAACCTTATTATTAGTTTTATGCGGAAATGCTATATTTAAATTTTAATTAAAATTATATTAAAAATATTAATTCAAAATATTAAACTATTAAAATTTACTTACGGCATAAACTTGTTTTTCCACTAATTGGCTGTACATAATAACAATCTTTTATTGGATCAGTTATTATTGATTGTGAATCAATATAACTATATTCACAAAATAATTTTTCCAAATATTGTCTATTTACACGTGAATTTATAGTTATATAACGATGATTGCATTGAGTAGATTGCCATTTATTGCATCCTATAAATATTCCTGTTGAACTTTTTCCCTGAACCTAGTAGTATTTAAAAAAAGTAAATTAATAAAAATTTGATTTTAATTATAATTAAAAATATATAACTTATATATGAATATTCTTTTAATATTGGTAAACCATCGCATTGTTCATTAGTAACTGGATTAATTGCACGACAAGGTGTTTTAAATGCAGTAATAAATGTACTAATTATAATAAAATATATTAATATTATAAATTATTAAAAATTTAATTAAATCTAAATAATATATAATACCTTAAAGCTGCATTGTCACGTGAAAATTCATGCGAATCAAATATTTTTTTGTAAAGTTCACTTTCAAAGTCTACACTTGTATGTGAAACTTCAAGATCAGATGATGCACATTCACAAACTTTAATGCCTTGAC